AAAAGATGCCACTTTACGGTTAAAATCTTTTATAACTTTAATATATATATATATAATATATATATATATATATATATATATAATATATATAGATATATATTAATATAGATAATAATAATAATAATAAGCATTGTTTATTTGTTTTCCAGTTTTGGTTTTCTTTTGTGTTCTTTTATATGTTTAATACACTTAACTTTAATTATAAATTTAATTATTATTTGATTAACAAATATTATTAACTATGACTTCCTTAAAAAGAATATAATTATAAACATATTAAATTAGAAGGAATACGATGATTTGATTTAAACGTAGTCAATAAAATACGTAAAAATAACATTTTTTCCTCTTTAATAACATATCGAGTTGCATTACATATTATTTGTTTTTGTCGTTTTAACAATGTTGATGAATCAATTTATATTAATTTCCCACATATGACATTTATCTTTGGGGTAATGCAAAAATATGTAACAAATCCAAAAATTATCAACTACAACTAGATTTGATTGAAGAGATTTGGAGGCGAAGAAAATGAAGATTAATATTGTATTATTTGTTTTATGATTCATTCTTTTGTAACATCTTAATATTTGAATATTTAATAAAGAAAAATAAATTTAATATTTAATATTATTTTGTTATTTTATATATTAAAATATTATTTTAATTATATATAATTAAATTTATATGTATTTATTATTGAGTAATTATTAATGTTTAAATATTTAAAATATATGTTAAAATATATAAAGTAGTTGTTGATACGATAGTGTGACTACTTTTAAAAGATGAGTAGCATTGTAATGATGTAGAAGTAATTATAAAAAACTAATGTGACATGTTTGAAAGATGAATGACATTACATTGATGTGGATGACCTTAGATTTTAATGATTTGAGCTATGTTGTCTCTAGCTTGTTTCTTTTTCATCATAGTCAAGACCATTTTTTCATCTTTGTATTTTATTTTTTTAGGAATACAATGTGATCAAGTTTTGGACTCGCGTATCCTCATTCCCTAAAGTTGACAATCACATCGTTGAAATCTTCTAATTCCAAACAGGTTTTTGTACATCTTAATTGGGCAAAAATTAATTTTAAATTCTTATATCATTGAAGGATTATTGTTTAAATACTTTCACATGAAAAGCAATATTTTTAAGTCATCCTTCAAGTTGGAAGCAATAGAATGATCCCTATAAGGCCATCAACAATACCTTCAATGAAGGGGTTTGTGGTCTACGTGGCCACGAATGTTGTCCATGCACACCAGCCCGGACCTTCGTGGCCGGGCGTGATCATGTTGATTTGTGGTGAGGACAGTAGAGGACCACGATTCTTCTTCTCTCTCAGGCCTCAACCTTCTTCTTCTCCCTCCCTCTTTTTCTCTATGTGTGTGTGTGTGTGTTCGTCTCTTATTAACCGTGGAGAGTACTCCATGGTTTTATGGTGGCTCGTGGTGGCTAATCTAGAAGCTCTCTACAACCATTTTCGTGGAGACTATTACTGATGACCTAAGAACCTATCAAACACATCAAAACAACTCTCCCATGTCTTTTGCATACCCATGAACCCAGTTAGATTTTCATCACACAAACAACTTACCTAATCCTTCTTTATTTTTTTAATTCACTTACGTTTTAAATAATAAGAATTAGACTAAATGGAGTGGCAGCAGTTCTACCATAGTTTTGCCACATTGTCAAAAAGGAACACAACATCCAATGTGCGACTTGGGATGTGGTTTGGCTGCACGCAGTAATATCTAGCCGCTCTCTCTCTCTCTCTCTCTCGCTCTCTTCTCTATATATATAATATATATAAATATAGATAAGATATATATATAGTATATATATATAGATATATATATATATATATATATATATATATATATTTATCTATCTATCTATCTATTTCACTCCTCTTTCTTCTACAGACTCTCTTTTTTCCCTCTTTTCTTCTTCCTTCTTTTTTTAGTACACCACACCTAGTGTGTGGAAAATAACCACACTTTTTGTGGTAAAGTTGACATGGAGTCTTTGTGGCGTCTACGTGGCATATGAGGAAGTTTGGTTTCTGTGGCACCACTCCCTCCAACAATATATGCATATTTTTAACTCCTTCAATTTTTTTAGCATATTTCGGGAAAAGTATCCTATGATTGAGCCACCAACCATATCGATATTTCTTACCGAAAATGATCACTTTAGGACTTGACATGATTTGAGTTTATTAAATTTTATAAATTTTGAGCAACATTTTCTGGAATTCTTCATCTTCCTATCCCTAAGATGGTCATCATAATTGTAATTGAATTTCCGATAAGACCATATATGATCATTCATCTTTGAATGTTGTATTACATGTACCTTTTCATCTTCGATCACCTTTTCCCACACTACTTCCTTAATTCTTGTGATTTTAACTCTTTTCCTTATCAACCATAAGAAACATTAAAAAATCACCAAATTTATTTACATATCATTTTAGTGTAAACTCTTCCTAGTAAACGACTTCTTTTATCCATTGCACAAGTTTATGTCACCAAAATGTTTCCCCGTTCCTTCACAATAAGAATAAATGAGTATGGGTTCCAAATACTCATATAGAGCTTTTTGTTGGTGATTTAGTGTTATTAGACATTTTAGGTAATTGGAACTAAAATTTGAGTTATGGGCTTATTATTTGTACTCTATATTATATTTTCGATGAATGTGGAATACATGCATATATAAGATCGAATTATAAGCTGGTACGACAGAATGACGGGGGTTCAAGGGGGTCGCGCCACCTTGCAGGGTCCTGGGGGCAGCACCCCTAGTGGGGTCTAAGGGGCAGATCCCCTGGTGGTGGTCCCTCTTGATTAAGCCATTAAATTCATGATTCTGCTAACTAATTTAGAAGATAGAAACCCTAATCTGTTAAAGCATAAATATGACCCTTCTAATGAGCCGTGATCAGAACCCTTCAGAGCTCTCTCTCTCTCTCTCTCTCTCTATCTATCTCTCTCTCATCTCTCTCTCATAGATATATATATATATATATATATATATAATATAATATATATATATATAATATAAGATATATATATGAAACAATCTCATAATTTTATGGTAATTTGGCTTACGTTTCTGTGCCCAGATTCATGAGTGTCCTTTTGGATTATCCTAGATTGTATTTCCCGTATTCCAGACATAGGGTGGAAATATCAACTCGGAAAGTGATCATACATGATCCATAAGGAATCATGTTCTCCACCATCAACATACTAATCCCCTCCTAACCAACAATTTTAATGTCTACCCAAGCAATGTGATCCTCAATCATGACATCTTCAGACCATGGAACTATCTTGGAGATCCAAGATTAGGTTCCACCACTTGTTATGAAAGCTTCTTTATTCAAAGATAGTGGTAAGGAAATCAACATCCACCAATCTAAAACGTACTTAATAGACATGTCAATGAATACTTCTAATTTCTTTATGTAGTGGATAGCCTTCGCTTCTCCCACTTGTGTGGAATGAGGTCGTGGATAACAAAGTTATGCACTTTTGAATTAAGATTGAGTGATTGACCATGGAATGAACAAAATCCTTTTCACTTCCTTTAACCTCCCATTCTCCATCATATTTAACAACTTCCCACCATTCACACATTATGAAAGAACATCAACTAGTGTCTGTAGAATTAATGGTTGAGTTTCGTGGTAGCCCATCCTTCTTTTTCATGTTTCAGTATCTAGATCTAACGAAACCCTAACGTCCATGACCCGCTTCATCTTAAATGGATCGATCTAATCTTCATATTGAAAAAACGGTTTGGCATGCCCATAAAGATCACCTATTCAAAGATATAATTAACAGAACTGAACTTTTTCCTAGATTTATTGACTTTCTTTGCTACGTAGACGTCTACAAGCATCCACTAAATTTAGAACAACTTCTACTGGTCTCACACTTCCAACGCACATAGAAAGTTTGTGAAAAAAATGTTGACGCATTAATACGCTTAAGGTCTTTGATTTTTTCATTATGATGCCCGATCCAACCATCAACTTGTGACTCCCACCCTCTCAAGTTATTTTCAGTTTACCTTGATCTTAAGTTTGGAATATTTCGTTTAATCTCAATCAAAGATAAAAGCAAGTACAGTGTTTGTATTGTGAGTGCTTATGAAGTATTAATTCAAGTGAGACGATGAAATATCAAATTGTTGCACTTACAAGTAATGCACTTCTCACTTAGGGTGTGTTTGACACAAAGCGTTTGGGAGTTTCTAGCATTTGACAAAATGCTATGTTTTGAACAAAATGTCTCATTTGATACTATAGACTTTTAGCGTTTAGTTTAAACAAAACGCTTAAAATCTAAAAGTTATATCACTTAGCAGTTAAGAAAACGCTACTAGATATCAGCTATCCGCTATCCGCTAACAACTAGTTTTGTCGAACACGCTAGTTTGAGTTGACGTTGTATATATGTTAAAATGATACTTGTTTTTTTCTTTCATAAATAGTGACATCCATTGAATTCTGATTTTAAGATGCTTGTATCGATTTTACTAGTTTGAGAAAATGTAATGGATAGACCGTATATAATAAGAAAAAAAGTTGTACCAAATGATATTATTTGATTACTTGATACTTATCAAGGAGGTGTCTTATTGTGGAAAGAAAAGCATGCAGCATATCACAACTGGGACACTCCAAAGATTTTTTTTCAAAATGTGTGAGTAGGTGCCACAAAAGTTGACCTTATCATCAGATGGCTTTATTCAAGCCTCATATCTATATATATACTTAATATTATTCGTCACGTTAGATAACAAAACTTCCTCTGGCTCTGGGCCTATGGCTGAATGATATATATTATTTGATTAGTTATTATAATTCATGCATCAACTGCTTGATTAAATAAAAACAAATGAGAGAGAGAGAGAGAGAGAGAGAGAGAGAGAGAGAGAGAGAGAGAGAGAGAGAGAGAGAGAGAGAGCATACTCCGAGGAACCAGTCGTTTACAAGAAACGCGTACAAAGTCCACACCCCACCATTGAGAAAGAGGAAGAGGGAAAGAAGAAATGGCATATACTTAACACTTTTAGTTGTCACCACTAATCTCTGCATTATTAAACAATCACAAACTCATTGAATAAAGAGGTTTGACTATATATAATATTCGTTATTAAAATAAATTAATGGAACATTACGATTGACGATAAAGTATAATTCGAAATCGACTAATTTTTTCTATAAATATGTAGACATTGTCAACTCTATCCACCCACAACAGCAAATTAAAAGAAAATTATCCATGTAATTAATGTAAAAAATTTATCATTTCCATTGTAACAAGTTTTCACTAGGTATTATCTAGAACTAAGTAATAACCAAAGTCCAAAAGTATACATTTTTGTTGTCTGTTTTTTTAAATAACAACAGCTATATTTCTTTATTATTAGAATAGTAATAATATTTTTAAGTCTTTTTTTTCAATATTTATTAAAAATGGAAAAAAATAATAATACTAAAAAGTCATCATGTATTTTTTTTATATTTTTGTATAGGGTTGGATCGAGATCCACTTACCATAGTTGAGAGAGGAGAAGCATACATGACAATATTAAGGCCAGCACCCAACAAACCTATCACATCAATCCTCAAGTCTCCTTCCATCAACAACTGAGTAACCAAAACAGCCACCGCAAAGGCAACCACATCCACAATCCCAGCTAGCTTCGCCGTTTTTGCCTGAATGATCATATTCTCATAATTAATATATACTCACATCAATCATAATAACACATATAAACACATATAATGATTAATTACGTTACACACTTACCCTCGTTGCTGGAGATGCATAAATGAGGAACAAGGAAATATAAAGAATCTCTACAACAATGCCAAAACCATTAACAGTTGCGACCAGATAACTTCCTGGTTTCGTGATTCCATAATATGTCCATAAACTTGAATTCAGCAAAGTGCAAATGTAGGGAAGGCTCTGAAACTCTTCTGTTGATCCTTTCTGCACTATTCTCCAAAACGTCTTCCTGCACCAACACATCACCATTTTCATTTGACGACTAAAAGGAATTAATGGGATGAGATATTTCTAAGCCGGACAACACATTATATACTTACACTGGGGAGAGAAACATCAAAACAGAGATGATGTTGCCTGCAAAAAGAAACCATTGTACGTTAATTTGCTGGTATGTGTACATGTTGAATTATCAAAGATTAAAAAGAAATAATGTACCAATAATCCCCACATAGACATACAGGTTGTCCATATCTTTGAAGAAGAAGAAGAAGAAGAAGAAGAAGAAGAAGAAGAAGAAGACACAAGAAATCGAGCAGATTAGCAAGGAAGAAAGTTTGCTTATGGAGTTGCAATGGAAGACTAATCCCACCTGCACTCTTGATTATTATGTATATTTTCCTTTTTTATATATTTTCTACATTTTGGACGGTTGATATGTTGTTGTACATATATATTTTATTAAAATCTGATGGAAATTTTCAGCCTTGTATATGGCTTTATATTTTCCCCAAATAAATAATGTTGCAAAGAGAACTGCACGGTGTTACTTGACGACACGATTCATTTACAAGAAACACGTATAATAATAATAAGTAACTGTAGATTCATTTCGAAATATCATAAACATGTGTGTTCAAGCGTCGCTGTCCGTCCAGTCCATTCAGCCAGCTTTCCTGGCCCAAGTTTGATGAATTTACTGGTTTTTATTAAATTTTTTCGAGTCTATTGGACCAGGGGCGGACCCAAGAATTTTCCGAAGAGGAGGCAAAAAAAATTTATAACTTTTTAAAGGGGGCAAATTTTTTTGATGAGTAAAAATATATAATTTTGAAGGGTTAAAATATATATATTTTTTAAAAAACCTAGTTTTTAATGAATTTTTTTTGTTGTGGGGGCAATTGCTCCCACTGCAGGACCGCCACTGATTCGACCCATTGTCATATCATGCTAGATTGCAAGATTGTGCGTGAAAAATGTGGTTGTATGTAGTGGAGATGCAATGCTTTGGGAGTGGGACGCACGCACCGATGGCAAAAAAAAAATTACACATAAACGCCCAAAATTTCCAAAGTTTACTTGAAATCCCTTTATGTTTTTTAAAAAATTCAAAAGTGTCCGAGAAAAAAAAAATAAGAAAATGTAGCCGTCAGTGCAGTACAAGGAAAAAGATAATTAGCGGCGACAAAAATCGTCGCTAAAAAGTCAAATTGTCACCGGTAATAGTAATAGCAGCGACACGTCGTCGGTAATAAGTCGCCGCTACTTCTTCGTCGTTATTGATCAACTTGTCGCTATATAATGAGAATTGTCGCCGCTAATGAGCTTGTCGCCGGTAAAGAGTGTCGTCGCCGCTAATGATGATGTCGTCGGTAATGATAATGTCGTTGGTAATAACAATTTTCATTTTTTTATTTTTTTTAATCAACTATTTTGGTTGCCGGTAATAATGTCGCCAATAATTACGTAACAACATTCGATTAAATATCAAAAATAATAGTGTCGACGCTAATTACAAAACAAACATCTGATTAAATATCAAAAGTAATAGTGTCGCCAGTAATCACATGCACATCCGATTAAATATAAAAAGTAATAATGTTGCTGATAATAGTGTCGCCCGGTAATTACATAACATCCGATTAAATATAAAAATTAATAATGTCGCCGGTAATAGTGTCGCCGGTAATTACAGAAAACAACCAAAACTTTTACAATCTAACAAGTAGCAAAGCGTGACAACAAGTGTAATATGCAAATAAAACTCATCCCTACATACCATCATCTTCGTTCCCATCGTTTCCTCGATTATTTTGGGATTGAAAAAACGAATAAAACTCATCCCTACATGTCGGGTCGTTGAGCATTGCACGAAGATTTTCCAACTACATAATTAATAACAACATATATAAACTTATAAGTTAAATTATCAAACATAAACAAAAACTATCAAAGTACATTGTTATTTTTAAATTAAGACAAAGCCAAAGTACATTGCTATTTCTTGCACTTTGGACAAAAACCCAATTACCAAAGTTTTTAGCAAACAATCACCACAAACCAAAATTACCAAAGCAACATGCATTTTATGATGCTAAAGTAGATTGCTATTTTTAAAGTAAGACAAAAAACCAAAGTACGTTGTTATTTTTTGCATTTGGGACAAAAACCTAATTACCAAAGTTTTTAGCAAATAATCACCACAAAACCAAAATTACGAAATCAACATGCATTTTATGATGCTAAAGTATATTGTTATTTTTAAACTAAGACAAAAAACCAAAGTACGTTGTTATTTTTTGCACTTGGGACAAAAACCTAATTACCAAAGTTTTTAGCAAATAATCACCACAAAACCAAAATTACCAAATCAACATGCATTTTATGATGCCGAAGTAGACTGCTATTTTTAAAACTAAGACAAAAAACCAAAGTACATTGTTATTTCTTGCACTTGGGACAAAAACTCATTTATCAATGCTTTTAGCAAATAATCACCACAAAACCAAAATTACCAAATTAACATGCATTTTATGATGCAAAAGTAGATTGCTATTTTTAAACTAAGACAAAAAACCAAAGTACATTGCTATTTCTTGCACTTGGGACAAAATCCTAATTACCAAAGCTTTTTGCAAATAATCACCACCAAAAACTAAAGTAGATTGTTTTACCTGTGATGGTTGTGATGGTTGTGGTGATGGTTGCGATGGTTGCGAAATCGGCGGGAGAGCAGAAGGTTTACGACCGATGCCTCTGATATGACCACGTCGCCCTCCTAATACTTTCTCAAAAGCAGCTCTTTCTTGAGCGGGTGTTAACTCACTTTCACCTTGGGTTTGTTCTAAGAGCTCTTCTACTAACCGATTCTGTAACTCCCAAAAGTGCGTAACAATTAAGTATAAATAAACATTTAATTATATGATAAAATTATAATTAAATACTTATATATTGTTGTTCCGCCTCAGCAGTAACAAATACACCATCCATATCGGTATGAGCTTTGCGAAATGTTTCCACTCTCTTAAGGTTCTGTTTAACTTTAAAAATTAGATAATATTTTAAATAAATAATTACATGTATCGTACGTTACCTTCTTATACTGCTATACGAGCTCGACCCCCCACGATTCACATTTGTTTGCTTTTCATAGACTTTTTTGTTCCTGTCTGAAGCAATTCTGTGTTCGTCCCTTTGGAAATACTCAACTGCTTTCTTCCTTATCAACTTCCATACCCCTGGAGTTTGGCTATGCTCTCCGGGATATTCTTCTACCCTCCGACTAACATAAAATATTCTTTTGCGTCAGCTTTACGTTCTCGATAACCTTTTAACAAAGCTGCTTGAAAACTCTCTGTCAACATATTAGCTTGTACATCCTGATACATCTGATCCAAATCAAACTTTGTCTACAAAAAAAAGTTAACCAAGTAAAAACCAGTTATAGTTAACCATATAAAATATTTTTAAATAAATAATTACCCCTAAATGTTGTAATACGGTGTCCTTTATTGCAGGGGAAACTTTTTTCCAAGTCCATTTATCAAAAGGGACCATTTGCCACATTTTTTTTCCAACTTCTCGTGAAAACATGTCTTTCGGCTCTCCTACGGGATCAAATGTTATATCCCTGTCATATTCCATGCTAATTGGTTTACCCCGATTCCGTAAGATCGCTCTTTCAAGCTTTATATTTTTGGCTTTACCTCGAACTTTCCTACGTGCACGTTGCTCAACTACAAAAGTAACTAAAAATTATTAGAAACGGTATTTAATTTATAATAACTGAATCAAAATAGTAAATAAAAATTCATAATAAGACTTACGGTCCTGCTCGTGATGACCAGCACTTCTACCACCTGGGAGAGGTGGGTCCTCAGCTCCATCACCCTCGTGTCCACGACCCATAACAGCAGCCATGGTATACACAAACAAAATCCATATTGACATCATTTCCTGAAAAATTATAAGATATACAAATACAATTTTTATTACAAATACACATTACATAGAAATAAACATTTACATAGGAAATAAACATTTATATTTAAAATAGAAATCCAAATAAGTTCATATTACAAACACTGTTCATAAGAACTATTTTCTAATTAGAATCTTCCTCATATCCTTAAGTGTCTTCTTCGGTATCATAATCAGATTTGGTCTCATCGTAATCAGTCTGGCAATTAGAAACATCATTGACTCTACCAGTTGGCGGAGGAACTTCAGTTGCACTTTCTACATCAACAATGACTCTAGGAATGTTTTGAAAGTACATGCTAAAATCGATAAAAAGTGGAGCATCGGATGAAGAGATATTTTGAAGTACATCGACATTATCTACATTTTCGTGTGAGCCATTGTCAACATTTTGGACACGATCATCGTTCGATGGTAGATCCCAAATACTTCGATGATTAACATGCTCGACAACACACCGATGGTTATTGTTTGGCTCTCTGATGTAGAACACTTGTTTGGCTTGTGAAGCATATATGAGTTGATCATCTTGTATGCTTCGCGTCGTGGTGTCGATACTGGTGTGAAATTATCACTATAAAAACTCATGTTCGAGTATCAAACCACTTGCAACGAAATAGTACACTTGAATAATCATGTGTATACCTCAACTCTATAATCTCTTCTAACTGGCCATAATATTTCTTGCCTTTCTCACCCACCGCTAAAACCCAAGATTTTTGTGTTGTGCGTTGTGCGTCACGACTAAGTACCATAAACCTAACATCGTTGACTATGCATGCGGTGGAAGAATAAGGATTCATTTGCAGACCCATTGCAAGAGCCGACAACTCTTTGTGGAATTCTGGAGAGTTTTCTATTTTCATTTGATGAACCTAGCAATTATAAAGTAATATGTATTATGTATTCGTTAGATCAATGAAACAAATTTGTTTATTAATTATATTACCTTTTCAAGAACCAATTACGAAATTCTCTCTTTTCATCACTTTGGGATGTTCAGATTTTGAATTTCCTATGTTGATGACCAAAATATATAGATTTAAAAAGATTAAAAAAAATTAAGGATGAAAGTTAGAGATAAGATTAGTTACTTGATATACTGTGTGACTTCTTCACAGCTATTCAATACAAACCATTCCATTTTACGCATTTCCGTTAAATTAAGAGTTTTGATTTGAGTTGTGCTGGTGGTCGACATTTAGACTCAACATCCAAAACTTTGTTTTTTCAATGACAACATCTTCATCTTCTTTCTTTCCGGACGATTGAATTGATTCTTTACATCTCGAAGGTACATCGAACAAAATGAAAAAGCTTCTTCAGCAACATAACCCTCAACTATAGAACCTTCCGGCCTCGCCTTGTTTCTGACATAGTTTTTAGTTTTTTTTTCATATACCTTTCGAAGGGATACATCCATCTCATACATACCAGACCTCCGGCAATTGCTTCATCAGGTAAATGCAAAAGTAAATGAACCATAATGTCAAAAAACGCTGGAGGATAAATCAATTCTAACTTGCACAAGATTGCAATAATGTCTACTTTTGCTTTCCTCATATCCTCCACCTTCATGTTCTGGAACAAAG